GATGATGGATGGATGATGGATGGATGATGGATGGATGATGGATGATGGATGGATGATGGATGGATGGATGATGGATGCTGCTCACATGTTTAAACTCAGGTGTTTACAGGCTGACAGCTGGATGTGTTACTAATGTTTCATGTAAATAAAAGTTGTTTTTTAATTCATTAAAATGAATTTATACTTCAGTAAAATTATTTTGGGGTTGTTTCTGTACAACAGATGCACAGATGGAAAGGAAAAGGTGAAGAAAGATTTAAAAGAGAAACAAGGAGATAAATGTAGAAAAGAGAAAGAAGCAACATATTTGTTATCTGCCTCTTCACCTGCAAAAAAGAGAAAACAAAGAAAACACAGCAAACAACATATTTGTTTATAATTATTAGAACCTAAATGAAAGTTATTGTCAGGTTCAGAACATTTTAAATGACAAGAGGAACTGAGGAGACACAAACAAAACAACAGCAAAGTTAAATTTGACTTGCTGCAAGGGGAGACAGTTTCCTTCTCCAAAGAGATAACATCTTTTAACTTTTATTAACATCASTCAAAGTAGGCAGTCACAAGTTTTCAACCTATTATATTTCAACACAAACACACTAACTTTATCTTCATCTAACAGACATTTCAACTTCAGAAAAGCATGGCCTTCATCTCAAATATTCAGCTTTCTTAAGACAGCCTGGCTCCGCCCACTCCCAGGACTGCTACAGCAAGATAAGACAACTTATAAATGTTGTGTCTCGGTTCTGTTTGGTTCGGCTGGGCTTTGTCAGCTGCTGGACCCGTCTCATCTCCCTTGTGTCTGCTCAAGTCTGAAGTCTGCTCACTCTGGTGCTGCTTTGGGGCTGGTGCGGCTGGCTGCTGCTTCGGCCGGTTCGCTGTCGGTGGCTTGCTCCTGGGTCGATGAAAACCAGTGGACTTCCTCCTCTGAAGACTTGTCAAATGTCAATAAAACTCTAGGCTAACATTTGAATAAAGAAAAGAGACGCTAATCTTCAGTTCTGGACCAGTTTATTGCGAGACATCTGCGCTCACGTCCTAACCGTGAGATGTTTTCTAAGGCTCTGCCCCAAAGAGACGCGTGAGCGTGCCTGGTGCTCGCTCCCGTCTTAAAGGGACATACACACCTGAAAATACACGACATAAACTTTAACACAATATTATGAGGCCTTCAACTCGGATCTGAAAAGTAAATAGAAAATAATGTTATTAAAACAGAAAAAATCAGCTTAACAGAAACAGATGAAAACTTATTTATATTTTTCCGTCAATTACACAGTATAAATTGTAAGAACAAACAAACAAACAAACAAATAAATAAAATGTACTTGGTGGGAAACGCCGTCCCCACATAGTGTATCTGAGAAACACCTGAATCTGAACAGCTGTGTGTGTGTGTGTGTGTGTGTGTGTGAACATAGGTTCCTCCATAGGCATGTTTATCAGAGACTGGCCTGAGGCAGACATGAGGAAGACCAGAGCCAAAGGCACTGAGAGGGACCCCGAGTGCAGAGCCCCCAGGGGTGTGTAGGGGG